AAATAAAAACGAACTCTCTCAGCTCTGTTCAAGAAATAGTAAGTTTTCTTTTATTTTCCAAGAACACCCATTAGAATTGATAAAGTACTAAAAAAAAGATGCGCCACAAGAATTTGTGACGTCATCGTCATTACCAGATTTTATAATAATCGGACGCTGGCTCGCTCTTTTGATCCTACACACATTTTTGAAATGTTGCCATTGCCGTAAATCTAATTTTCTTCTAAAAAGCCTTATGTTTTATGATAATCCCAATCGCAAAACTTGTAAATATAAGCACAAACTAAGAACAAATTACAGTTTACATTATCTTCAATACAAAGCCGTTCATGTATCTATCTTATCACGCATTACATAAATCGTGGTCATTGACCTAAATTTACAAAACAAGGCAACGGCGAGCGTGTTTCCTTGCCTTCTGTATTCAAATGTGCTAGTGTTAATTGGCACTACATAGATCTAACGCAGATTTCGCGTAATTAAGTTCCGATGTAAGCTAGAAATTGTTTTATGTGTTCAGATTCAGATATCTAAAGCGCGAATTGGTCGGGATACCGATAGTATAGTTCTGTTAAGCGATACCTACTGATATAAATCAAACATTATCGGAAAGAAAAAAAAGTTCAAATTCGTAAAAGCCATATTTTAGTTATGTATTTTCTAAAATTATTTTATATCGTATTATAAGACTTAGGCCACGGCCTAACTTACCCTTAGTGTCTATTCTTTAGATATTACAAGATCGGTACCGAAAGATTCACCTTGGAGTTTTCAGCCTCTCTAAAATCACCGAATATAAAGCTGAAGTATACATGGGTGAACATTAATTATTACTTACATAAATTGTTTTTCGTCTTTCCCGGTGGCTGAGCTTAGATTCGGTTGTGCACCGTTAGTCTGATAGGTTTATTTAAATAGTCTAAACCCGACGCGAAAGACTTGTCGCATTTGAACACTATTTGTTTTGTTCTATCTTTTCAGAGGAGATGACAATCCATGTGATTGCCAAAGCCCCTAGACAGATCTATTAGACAGACCTTATGAAGCCTTGTTTAAGGGCCGTTTTACCCTTTAAATCGGATCGGTTGTTGGCCTCACGGCAGGAACAAGCCAGATGGTTATATCTGCCCATGCCTGCTACACAAAACACACCCTGTCGTCTATAGTAATTAAGCATATTTATGAATTAATGCAAGTTTATGACGCGTTTTACTCGCGATACAGCTAGGTGCTGCTAATATTAATACATCGAAATGATCACTAGCGATAATTGCGTTTACGTTGAACTTTTTTTCAGTAAAAAATAAAATAAAATAAAATCGACACATACATATCCCTTCAAACGACCACTTTCAAACGTTTTCATAACCAATCGAATCTCGAAATATCAATATGAAGCATCGGGCCCTTATTTAGGTCAGCATGAATTGACTTCTCGACGATCGCCGGAAATAATTGGCAATCAGCGGCGAATGGAAGCGTAAAACTATTTGCCTTATCGCTTTAGATCGATTTGTTTCTTATTATGTGGCTTAAATAACTAATAACGTTTAGAAAAAATAAGTTGCAAACAATACAGCAAAACAACTTCACTTGTTAAGATGAACAAGTGAAGTTGTAGTAGGGCTGGCTAGAATGAAACTACAAGAAAAAAGGAATAACCCAAAATTATCTTTTAAACCATTATAAAAAGGAAATAATACATAGTTTAACATTATACATTAAATAGTTTGTATTTTGTTTATCGGATTTAAAGACCCAAAGCTTGAAACTACTGTCTTTGCAAGAGAAACATGTAACATGAATCTACTTAATATTAAGGCTTCTATATTTTTCATACAAAGGTCTGTTGCATTAAAAAGTTATTTGGTCCTCGCATTCTTTTCGCTTTTGTTCTCAATGTTTTACGAGTCCCGGCAGTGAACGCCGACTTTGGGCCAAGGTTCGCTCCCTCGTCGTCTGGCCGAGTCGTTAAGCTGATGCGCATTAAGCCCTATACTCAGTCGAACGATACCGTGAAAGGCGGAACATTTTTATTGCTTGCGTGCAAATTTGGGAGCATTTTATGGAAACAGATATATATGTATTTAGGTGAAAGCATTGCAATAATTTTCTATTGCATTACATACAGTTTCGATTTTTTTATTGCTTTTGTTAGCAGTCGATATTACGTCCCACCATATTGTGAGTAAAGTCGTTCATGGACGACATTTAACCCACAGACACAGCCCACTGAGTTTCTCACCGGATCTTCTCAGTGGGTCGCGTTTCCGATTCGGTGGTAGACTCTGCGAAGCACGGCTTTTGCTAGGGTTAGTGTTAGTAACGTCATCAGGTTTGAGCCCTGTGAGCTCACCTACTAGTTAAGGTTACGCTGAAGTGGTCTCTCAAGACAATCAGCTTGGGTAGGAAAAAAATGTTTTGGACGTCAGCAAGGGCACAGCCAAGTCGCTGCCTACGGCTGGGTGTTCCGCAAACCTTGTTGAATACATACATGATGTAGGCTTTAAAAAGTTAGTGCTAAACTGTGTAGCTTTTTTTCCTACCTATTCTAGTAACCTCGACGGGTTATTCTAGATTCACCGAACTAGTAGGTGATATCACAGGGCTCAAACCGTGAGTATTGCTAACACTGGTCCTAACAAGAGCAGTGCTTCGCAGAATCTACCACCGGATCGGAAACGCGTCCCACAGAGAAGATTTGGCGAGAAACTCAGTGGGCAGTGCGGCGATAAAATACAAGCGAATATCGGGAACGCGATGCTTAAAGTTTCATAATGATTTTATTATCCCCTATACGTACAGCTCAGTAAATGTGTAACAATATCCTGGTTCAGCATCACGGAACACTATTGTAGTGTCCAACAATGCGGACACCTACCCAAGCCGAGCTCATTATAATACGGAAACCGTCAATGAGTCAACTGGGGAAGCCACGTTGATTTTAAGACAGGGAATTACAGTCGACCACATTCGGCTGTCGTTGAGAGAACAAAGCTTTATTGTGTAAAGCATTTACGGTGGTTATTAAGTCTTCAGTGAGCTATTGTTCGAGGATTTTTAGTTTCTTTTTTTTTGTATCCAAGAAATTTATGTCTCTGGATAATGGAGGGATATCCATAATTTCAACTTCTCACATTGAATACTAGAGATGCTTATTTGATATTTATATTATACGTATTTAATGCATTAGGTTTAGAAGTCGCGACCAAAAAATTTGTATCGATTTATGCAAAACTAGATCCGATCTTATAGTTATCATCGAGAATCGAGATATCATAGTTAGGGTTACAATGATTGCTATTATCAGCCTCAATGCGTTGCTACATAATACTAATAAACCATTGTAGATCGATAGTTATAAATAGTGCATGTCATTGTTTGGCGCTAAAGCAATCGTTTGCATAACAAGGATTATGAAGAAAGCGAACCGCCCACGCGTCATAAACAACATCGAGTAAATGTGTAACGTAATAACCAATTGTTATTAGAACCGAATATTGTTAAATACACCGTAATTCGAATACATAGTGTTCGCGTGAATTCGTTTTCGAAAAAATTGTTTTGGTTTTTGACATTTTGTTTTTGTTCAAGTAAAAATATTTTAAGTTTTTGAAGTTATACTTCGAAAAATTGATGTGAGTGAACATTTTACGATACGAAGTTGCCCACTAAATCGCTCATTACAATACGACCGACGTAACTTGGCGGGTCTGAATATAGCCGCAGGTGAACTTTTCGAACCGTACCGAGAATTACCGAATTTATACGATGTCAAGAAAAGGGATGCCCAATATGCGTATTTGAGGATGTTGTTTAATAGATTTTTTCCAAATTGATTAAAATTTAAATAAAAAAAAAAAAAAATTCAATAAAAATAAAGTATAACTTCTTACGCGCGTACATAAGTACACGCACTCTTTTTTTGTTTATTGCATTGACGGGAGGACGAGCTCACAGTCCACCTGGTGTTAAGTGGTTACTGGAGCCCATAGACATCCACAACGTAAATGCGCCACCCACCTTGAGATATAAGTTCTAAGGTTTCAATTTCAAGTATAGTTATAACGGCTGCCCCACCCTTCAAACCGAAACGCATTATTGCTTCACGGTAGAAATAGGCAAGGTGGTGGTACCTACCCGCGCGGACTCACAAGAGGTCCTACCACCAGTAATTATAATTTTTATTAAACGATATTATTCCTTCACCGTGGAAATCAATCGTGAACATTTGTTGAGTACGTATTTCATTAGAAAAATTGGTACCCGCCTGAGATTAGAACACCGGTGCATCGCTCAACACGAATGCACCGGACGTCTTATACGTTAGGCCACGACGACGACAAATTACCAATTTTATTACCAATTTCCTTAAAACCTTTCGATTGCTTTAAAAAAACCACATGGAGATCAATAATATAACTAACTGATGCTTCTCAATTTTCTCACACGCCGTCTTCGAATATTTTAATCACCAGTGCCGTATGTAATGATGTGAACAGCCCTTTTCATGTTAATTTGTTTGAGCTGTAAATTGATTCGCGCGTTTACCTGGAAGGCGCCGCGTACATCCGACGACCGTTACGATCATCGGAAACCGGTCCGGCTTCCAGGTTACGCGATACGCGTAAAAACGTCTCAACACGTACAGCCAGTCGTACAGCTTATCGATGTTTTGAGGTTAATTGCAGACAACGGAGGCTGTTTTGAGAATAAACACAGTAAAGATATATTTTTGGTGGTGGTAGGCCTCTTGTGAGTCCGCGCGGGTAGGTACCACCACCCTGCCTATTTCTGCCGTGAAGCAGTAATGCGTTTCGGTTTGAAGGGTACGGCAGCCGTTTTATCTATACTTGAGACCTTAGAGCTTATATTTCAAGGTGAGTGGCGCATTCACGTTGTAGATACCTATGGGCTCTGGTAACCAATTAACACCAGGTGGGGCTGTGAGCTCGTCCATGCACCTAAGCAATAAAAAAAATCCAATTAATTCGACTAACCTGTATATCTCTTCTAGGTTGTGGAGGCCTCATCGCAGGAGGGGCGGAAACTGGCGGCGGGGCAGGCATCCTCATTGGCGGCGGGGTGACGTGTCTGTATACCGGTTGCGGGGGTAAAGCCGACGGAAGCGACGGTCTCGGACCGTGCACGACGGTCACGGAAGGAACGAGCGGCGGCGGTCGTCGCTCTCTCGATCGCTCCACTATCGCGAGGTGTTCGGACGGCCGGATGAGCCGCGGGGGGGCCGGCATGCGGACGGACGGCGGGTCCTGGTCGGGGCGGGGTTCGGGCGGGCGCGCCGTTTGCCGCGGCGGGGGCGCCGGCGCGCGTCTCGCCCTCGCCGCCTCAGATTCGTCAGCCATCGGAGCGCGCCAATCTGATGACAATGAAAAATACATTACAATCAATTCAAGTGACGAAGCCTTTAAAGAAGCTTCCAATAAATCAACAACAATGTACTGAGGTTGTTTCAAGGGCTTAGTGATTACTAACCGCCTAAACGGGGCCACTGCATCATTTATTTATTTTGCTTTCTATATTCATAATACAGGATCTAATTTCAGACGTAGAACACAATAAAAGTACACTTTCGCTTTTTTTTTCTTTCACTTTTTATTTTGCTATCAATATTTAATGTTCTTGTTTATTTAAAAATCTATATATGTAATACGTGAAGAAAAAACTTTGGACCCCTTTTTACGAAAATTGCGCGGGCGGCGGAGTATGAAATTTCCCACACTTAAGCCGAATTTACATTACGAAATTAGTGGCGTGAAATTAATTTCGTGACATTAGTTTTACCAACAGTTTCACGTGTAATTTAATACTTTCGTAATGCATGCATTAATTTCATGCATGTAAATTAGTTTCGTGCACTGCGCGATTTTTTGGTGAAATTAGTGTCATGCAACTAATTTCATAGTGTAGACGCGACGTGAAACTAATGTCGCGAAAGGGCCTGCGCTGTGCGGACGTGTGTATTGTTAGCTCGGACGCGCTTCAAGCGTTGAAAATGGCAAACCAATGAAAAAAATATAGATCTTATTAATGAATATCAATGACAAGGGTCCCGAAACACCTATAGTAAAAAATCAAAATTATCTTCACTCATTCGAAAATAATTTTTATAACTCTCAGGATCTTCATCTGCTAATTCAGAGACTAACTTCATTGCACCTAAATGCCTTCTTGTTGACCATCCTCGAATCTACCAACTTTTTAAGTTTATAGGTATATAAGTATTTCTTTAGCTACATTGAATATAGCAAATTATAGCTTTGATGCTGAAGGCGCCATGGTTACTGCGATACTGTGGATTTCGCGACACTAATTTTTTAACGAAATTACTTTCGCATATATCGAAACTACTTTCGTGAAACTGAGCTCAACATGCATGACACTAATTTCGTAATGTAAACTCGGCATTATAGAAAATATAGAATAGGAGTGCAGAATGTTTTTTTTTTTTTAATTATGCATAAAAAATGCATTAAATCAATAAAAAAAACATTCCACACAACACGCATACACGCATACATACTATTTGTTTAATGCCAATCTTTTCTTATTGCTTATAGTCTGTGGTCAAATTGAGAATAGATTAAATATTGTTTGTCTTTCTTAATATTTGCCTAAAGTGTAGTCTTAGCGAAATCTGTGATTATAGAAGTATAAATAGTCTTTGACAATAGAATCATAATAGTGTACAAATATATAATTTCAATTACATAATTATAGCTGAATTTCGACTACCGGAGGACCACTAGTATTAAATAATGCCTGTAATGATTCAGTTGTAATTCCCAGATTTCATAATGAGCATTCTTATCGAGCGCCATCTGTGTGCGACGCGCGGAACTCGGTAGTTTGGCGGCTTCGAAGTACGAACGATCTTTTTATAAAAACTACATAGGTGGCGCCGCTCCATATCTTCTCTTTAGTATGAATATTAAGCCGCAACTATCTAATGGGATTTTAAGGAAGACAGGGTTGGCTCTCGTAAATTGTTTTAAAATTTAAATTGAAATGAGGTTAAACTAATGCTTTATTTTAAATCTAGGGTCGGCAGACTAAAGCACATAAGTCAAAATTTTCAATTTATTTTTTATTACATCATCGGTTTACATTTTGCTCAACACACAATCTGACTAAAGCACATAAATCAAACTCAAGTATTTCATGGCGTATTCAAGCGGCGTTCTGTATCAACCTTATCAAATCCTAATATAGTCAAACGAACTAAAAAACATAACTGGACTTATGTTCTAAGGAACACCATAAGTACAAAGTTATTAACGTAAGAAGTCTGACTTATGTTATAAAGAACATCAAAATGTAACATTTCTTTAGAGAAAGTGGTTACTTAAAAATATTTATAACGTAAACAATACTTCGGTAAGTGGTTTTAATTTACTAATGTTGTCGATTGTGCACAGTTTGTTGGTTAGTTTTGTGTGAGTGCTTAAGTATTTTAATTATTTAAGATGAATATTTAAAGAGGCAAGAAATTAGTTGAAATGGCGTCATCCACTCATCTGGAAAGCAATGAAGGTATATTTTCACATATCTTCAAAATTATGATTTGCAAATTACGTAACTATATCAATATTATATCATTATAAATAGATAATTAATTGTCTTGTCCTTTTTTAGAAAATGTAAATCAACAGTCGATTTTGAACACAGAGTTCTAGTATAACCTAGTAGTAGACGATCCTATACCGTCGACATCATCAGGTCAAGTCAGTAGCTTAAAATACTATTCTGTACTTGACTTCTCTAGTGATGATTCTGTACGATATCCATGTTATGAATTACCGAGACTTCCAATCACATCAAGTTCAAGTACTTGTGATGAAATTTCA